CAGAACTAATGAGTCCCACTAACCCATATTTTCCTTTTGTTTACAGAAAGCCCTCTGTGTGGAACACACTTGTGCTGACATAGCCAGACTTGATGGAACACAGCTAATTATGGGGCAATACTCCACCCATTAGGGAACATGAAGACCCTTAGAGCTTCAGATTTTGATTTTGTGAAAAGAAGATTATTATTCTGCCTGCCTAAAGACAGTCAATTTCTTATATTAGAGGTTAATAAGGAAGTAGGATTAAACATTTGGATATCATGCCCCCTAAAATGAGAGGCAAAAAAAAAACAAAACTTCATTTCTATTTTGAACTTCTGCGGGGACGATGTCCTTGCATGAATGAGTGTTGGAGGCATGCGAGGCATCTGGTATTACATAGACCAGGGTGTGCTATGGTTCAGTGTTAGTGAATTTTTCCTATTGATTTACTATCAATAAGAAATTCTTTTTTTTCTTTTTTTTTTTTTTGTGGAGACAGATGAGGTTCTATCATTCAAAATCTATTAGCTAGAATGAAGTCTAGGAGCTTATCCGATAATTCATCTTGTGGTATTTGGTGATTCCAAGTTGATCCCATTTAGAAGTCTTGGAATACCATAAGTAGAAACTTAATTCCCAAATGACCAAAAATTGTTTGCAAAATTATTTTTCCCACTTATTTATTGTGAGCTCTATTATTCCTACAGAGGACCGTAAAAATGTTGTTACAAAAAAGAGGATTGTGTGTAGTTTAAAGAATAAAAACAAAATGATTACCTGTGAACTCACAGCCAGGCTAAGAAATAGAACATGAATTTCTTTTAACTCCCCGTGTTCCTCACCGATCACGTGTCCTTTCTTCTCCAGAAAAAATTCTGACTTTTGTATTCGCTGTTCCCTTGCTTTTCTGTGGTGGCTGGCAATCTAGGTAGATATTGCTTAAAAACACATTGATTAGTTTCACTGATTTAACTTAAAAATTTTTAAAAACATACTTTGCCCTTGGCTATGACTTACTGTCCAGCGTTATTTTGAGATTCATCCATGTGAATGAGTATATCAGTACTTCATTCATTTTTATTGCTGTTAGTGTTTTGTTCAGTGAATAAACAATTTATCCATCTGTTGGTGAATTGCAGTTTTCTCAGGTTTTAATTTTTGTTGTGCAATTATAAGCAATGCTATTAAGGCATTTCTTGCGCACATCCCCAAATATACATTAGGAGTTTCTCCGTGTACCTAGGAAGGGAATGCCAACACATGTTGTTTGCACATGTTCAGCTTTCTTAGGTAATGCAAAAATGGTTTCCAAAGTGGTTGTAGCAATTTACATTCCAACCAGCAAAGCACATATATTCCCATTTCCACATCCTCACGTTGGGTATCATCACACTTCAGTTGTAGCCGTCAGGTAGGTAAGTGGTAGTGTCACTATAGTTTGGATTTTCCTGAATTAGTAGTGAGATCGGGTATACAGTGGAACCTTGGTTCTCGAACTTAATTTGCTCTAGAAAACTGTTTGAGAAGCGATTTGTTTGAAAACCAAACCTCCTTTGTTTGTTGCCTGAGAGACAATGACTGATCATACTGGTATCAGCATAAAAAAAGGGGTGTGGGAGAGACAATCAGGACCTGAAGTTTTGTTAGACAGCTGAGACTTTTTTTCTGGGAACAATTTGGTCGTGAACCGAATTGTTTGAGAGCCAAGGTTTGACTATATTTTCACTTATGTATTGATAGTTGGAATTTCTTTTTTGAGATGCCCGTTAAAATCTTTTACTCAGTTTTCTATTGGGTTTTTGATCTCATTAGTGCAAAGGCATTCTTTATGTGATCTAGAGATTAGCCCTTTGTTGTTTACATGTATTTAGCAAATATATGGCTTGTAGTTTCATTCTTTTTATGGTATCCTTTGATCAACATTAACTTAATTTTAAGGGGATTAAATTGATCAATATTTTTCTTTATTGCTTTAATTTTTTATGTTTTGGGAAATTCTCTCTGTACCAGTACGAAACATATTCTCTCCCCTTTAAATCTTCTCTGTTCTATTTTTGCCCTTTACATTTAGGTCTTCAATCCAACTGGGGTTGTTTTTTCATAGTTAGTATAAGGTAGGGGTTTGGTTTTATTCTTTTCCACAGAGAAAACCAGTTGGCCCAAGACCCTTTATTAAAAAGCTGGTTTCTCCACATTGATCTGAAATTTCACTTTTTGCATTTAGCAGGTGTCCATATATATACATCTGTATTTCTTTTCCCTTTATCCCCACCACTTATAGCCAATACCTTATCAATTACTCTAGCTTTATAATGTCTTGATATCTGATGAGGCAAGTCCTCTGATGTTTTCCTTGGCTATTCATAACCCATTGTACTTCCATAAGCATTTTATAGTCAACTTGTGAAGTTCCACCAAAAAATGCTTATGTTGATGGGAATTGCACATCTACTTGAGGAGAACTGAGATCCTTATGATATTGAGGCCTCCAGTCCACAAGCATGGCACACCTTTCCATTTATTTGGAGCTTTTTAAGTGTTTAAAATAAATTTTTATAACCTTTGCCCTGGTTGGCGTGGCTCAGTGGGTGGGGTGTCCTTGCACAAACTGAAAGGTGGCCAGTTCGATTCCTGGTCAGGGCTCATGCCTGGGTTTTGGGCCAGGTCCCCCGATGGGGGCGTGGAAGAGGCAACCAATCAGTGTGTGTCTTGTGCATCGATGTTTCTCTCCCTCTCTCTCTCTCTCCCCCTCTCTCTAAGAATAAATAAAATTTAAAAAGTAATTTTTTAATAACTTTCTCCATAGAGGTCTTAAAGATCTTATACATTTTTATTAGATTTATTCTTTAAGTACTCTGTGTTTTTTGAGTTTTATAAATTGCATCTTTTTAAATGTCATTTTTCACTGTTTGTTACTAGTGAATAGAAAGGCAATTGATTTATGTATATTGATTTTACATACAGCCAAATTGCTCTACTTTCTGATTTTAGTAATTTATCTGTTGGCTTAGTAATTTATCTATTTGGATTTCCTATATACTCAATTATATCATCTCCCAGTAATAGAAAAATAAATTATTTTCTTTCTTTCCAGTTCTTATACCACATGTTTTTCCCCCATCCCTTACCCCACTGGCAGGTCTTCTAAAAAAGAGTTGAAAAGGGGTAACGATAAAATGTGTTCTTGTCTCTGATTGCAAAGAGAGTGCTTTCAATGTTTCTTTGTTAACATTTTTGTGCTGACATAATCATATTTTTCCATTAATCTGTTATGGTGGTAAATTATATTCATTGATTTACTAATACTAAACCAGACTTGCATTTCTAGAATAAAACTATCTTGGTCATGATGCGTTATTCTTTTTATACATTTATGAATTTTGGTGACATTTTGTTAAGATTTTGTGTTTTTGTTCATGAATGAGACAAGTCTATAGTTTTCCCTTACTGCTATTGTCAGGTTTTAATATCAAAATTACATAAGCCTCACAAAAGAGTTGGGGGCCAAGATATTCCCTGCTTTTCCTACACATTGAAATAGTTTGTTTAAGAAAGAATATAGGAATATTCAGGTTTTTATATCTTTTTGCTTCTGTTTTCTTAGTTAAAATTCTACAGGAATATTTTCATTAATTTCCAGTCCTTAGAATAATGTTGTACATGAGATTTTATTATCTTTTGACTCTCTAGAGTATCTAAAATTATGACTCCATATTTAGTCCTTCATTACATTTCAACCTTCTTTTAAAAAAATGTTTAGGATTAAAATTTTTCTCTTAAGTAATGCTTTCACTGTCTCTACGTGTTTTCATGTATAATATTTTTGTTATTGATTCCAAATATTTTATAATTTTACATTGAATTCTTTCTTGTTCGATGAGTTATTTGTGTATTTCTTAATTTCCTAAGATACAGGTTTTTTTCCTTCTGGTTCTCATTCTATAACTGGTATCTAATAATTACACTGTGGTCAGAAAATGTTTTATGTATGATATCAATCCTTTGAAATTGAGATTTACTCGGTTTTTGGTCCATTGTGTTGTCAGTTTTTATAAATTGGGCACTCTGAAACAACACTGGATTTTGAAGTTGCCAGGCATAGCGGTCTCCATTATATCAGGCTTGTTCATTGTGTGGATTAGATCTTCAGTATCATTATTTCTGAATACTCTATCATCAGTTCCTGAGGGAGATATGTTAAAGCTCTCCCACTATGGTAGACTTATTGCACTGTCCTTGTAGAGACTGTTTATATGTTTTCATTATATGTTACAAGGTACAAATGAATTTAAATTTATTATATGCATTTTAATAGGAGGAGGCTCACATTTGGACTATAGATTTTTAGCTTAGTGACTCTGATTTTTATATTCCATCAAACTTGTAATAAAGCACACTTTAGACAAAAAGGATTTTGCTGTCATATTTATTAATTCAAGGTTTGAAATATTCTTGTCCCTTGGCCTTAAGTCATATCTGGGATGCTGTTTGAAAGAAATAACCAGTAGATAAAAAGCTTTACATTCTAACAATAGATTGGTTAAGAAACTATGACATGTCTACATGATGGTATATTATGCAGCCATTAGAATAATTTATAAAGAGTTTGTAGTAACATTGTGAAGTTATCACAGTGACTCGTAAATAAAGCAGAATATACACGATGATTTCAGTTACTTTAATGACAATCATAGGAAAATTCTAAAAGGAAATATCTCTAAATAGTAACATTGGTTTTTGAAATTTGATATTCTACCTTCTTTTCTACTTTTTTAGTGTTTTCCATATTATGTATAATGTTCATTTTTTTTAACATTTAGATTGGTAAAATAGACTTTAAAATATGAACAAATACATTTCTAACTAATATTTGAATGTACATAATTATTCTTTCCGTGTTATTTAGTTGGTATTTTTAAGACAGGAAGGCCATTTAAGATGTGCGATATACATGAAGTAAAAGTTAATGTTTAAAATTAGATGCCTTATTGTGCTTTATTTTTTTTCTTTCATAGGTAAAGTGTTGATAGAAGACAACCAGTTCATTGCTCCCATGGTGTCCAGTCACATGAGCCCATGGACAAAACCAGCAGCCCCCGGATCGTTCAGCCCACACGTGACAGAGTTCCCCAGGAAACGAAAAGGCAGTGATTCAGATCCTTCCCAGTAAGTGAAGTGTTCCTTTGACCCCATTAAATCTTTGGCTCTGGGGAAAAAAAGGAAAAGGTTATTTTTTAAATCATTACTTCTATTTAATTACATGGTAACATGGCCAGAGCTATTTTATTGATAGGATTCTACCAAACACTGATGTGATTCAAAGTGGCAGTAACAGTACACAGAGTTAAGAGGCAGAGCCCTGATAAATTGTTAGGCAGAGAACTAGCTTTTGGATAAATATGCCTTTCCTCCATAAAATCCTCTGGAAATCTCTTCAGTTGCACCTCCAAGGAGAGCACCTTATTAAAAACTGGTTATCTCGCCTTTTTGGAGTCTCCTGGCGTCCAGCCTTTGTCAGTCCTTGCTCTCTGCGGGGGCCTTACTCCGCCTTGTTCTCGCCTCCCCCCCCCCCCCCACACAGCGCCCCTTCCTCTGCTCTGCCTTCCTGGGATCAGGCGTCTCTCTGTTGCTACCATCTGTTCTAATGGGCAACACTGGTCGAAAGAAGAGGTGATCATTCTAGCAAGGGGGTAATTAAAACTGTATGATTAGAAGAATGTTATACTCTAAAATGGGTCATGAACAGGCTAAAGTATGAGTAGATAACTACATTTTATGTAAACACCCATGTAATGTGACTTCCATTCATTTTACCCAAAAGTACCATATGTATTTTGTTCCAGGAGTCGTGTTGCCCAAGAGTGAATGGTGGCGCGGGAGGGGGATGTTTAGCTCCATCCGTCCCCATCAGTGCTTCTCCCCACTGTTGTGTAGAAAAATCACGTTTTCTTGCATGTAATTTAAAGTTACTATAAAAACAGATCAAGGTAGGTCTCCTACTTTCCTATCAGATTGTCTCCCCTAAACTCTTCTTGTATAGAAATTATGGCGTCGTCATGACCTGGGTGTTGGAGGAGACAGATGTTCACAGTTGAGTGTGAAGAGTAAAACAGCCTAGTTCTTGAAATCTAAGATATACATTTCCCCCTACATTTTATCACCTGTGAGAAATGTCTCTGCCATCCATGGCATTTTCGTGGTAATCGGCATTTTTCTCTCATGTAATGCATTAAATAATAGTGCATCTTTTTTTAAAGTATATTTTATTGATTATGCTATTACAGTTGCCCCATTTTTTTCCTCCCCTTTATTCCCCTCTACCCTGCAACGCCCTCCCACCAGCATTCCCCCCACCCTTAGTTCATGTCCATGAGTCGTACATATAAGTTCTCTGACTTCTCCGTTTCTCTATACTATTCTTAACCTTCCCTTGTCCATTTTGTACCTACCTTTTGTGCTTATTCCCTGTACCTTTCCCCTCCGCATCTCTCCCCTCCCCCTCTCCCCTACTAACCCCGACATGATCTCCATTTCTGCAATTCTGCTCCTGTTCTAGTTGTTTGTTTAGTTTGTTTGTTTGTTTTAGGTTCAGTTTTTGATAGTTGTATTTGTTGTCATTTTTCTGTTCATGATGATAACTATAGGAAAGTTGTCCATAGTTTTGATCTTCTCCTTTTTCTTAGATAAGTCCCTTTAACGTTTCATATAATAAGACATCTTACAATTGATGGTGGCTTAGCTTTGACGAAATATGGTAGTGGCCTAAAAGGTACTGAGGTAGCCTAAAGAGAGAAGTGATTAATCATGCAGTAGTTAAAGGAAGCTTCCCCAAAGAATACCTGAGCTGGAGTTTGAGGAAGGAGTAGGATTTTTTCCTATTCCTGGGCCTCGTAAAGACCAAGACGCAGAGGAGGTGTGTGATGACGTGGTACGTTTGTGGACCAGCAGGCCCTTTGGTACTGCCGCTGTGTGACACTTGGGGCTGGAGGGAGAAGACGTGGAGAGGTGAACCGGGAGAGGCAGGGGTGGGCCAAGGGATGGAGAAGCTTGGGGTGTCGTTAGGGACTGTGGCCATTCCTCTTGGGCAATGGAACTGCATTTTGGCAGTTTTATGCAATGAGATTAGATGATCTGATTTGTTTTAGAGCAATAATGCTGGAAGTGTTGGTTAGGGGAGACTAGAAGGGGAAGACACCAGAAGAAGGGACATGAATTTAGATGGCTTTTGGGGTTAGTGCAACGAGCTACTGTAGGTGACACAGTGGGTGGGCAGAAAGCACATTTAGGAAATATTTTAAGACCTGGAATCTACAGGAGTTTGTGATTATTTGACACCTCAAAATGAAGAAGAAAAAATCTAGAATGAGTCTAGTGTTGTCACCAACCAAGATAAATCCTGTGGAAAGAAGAATAAATCAGGGCCAGTGGAGGAAGAAGAATTCAAATGAAGTAAATGAAGAGAATGCATTCAGCTTGGGATTTCTTAGGTTTTAGGGTATTTGGAAGTCAGTGAGGTGCACAATTCTAGTTCCAAAAGTCAAGAACTGGGTTCAGCATGGGGATTTCACAGCAAGTAGCTTATGAGTAGTTGTGGGGCCTTACGAGGAAATGAGATCTCTTAGGGTGAAGCTATAGGGTGAGGCAAGAGCTGTGCCAAATAGGAAATCTTGGGAGACCCCTGTGTTTAAGGATAAAAGAGCGGAGTAAAGGGACTGAGGGGACTGAGCTGAGCAGGGAGGATGGAGGAGCAGGAGAGGTCACAGAAGCCAGGTGAAGAATGAGGAACGTAAACAACAAACAGCAACATCGTCAAATTCAAGGGATTGTGTAAGATAAGGATGAGCCTTCCTAGAATAGTTTTAGTGAAGAGGGGATTGTGAAAGGTTCACTTTTAATAGGTGGAGAAGTGCCTGGCAAATGAAAGACTGAGTGGAGACTGTACTTTCAGGAAGCTGGCTGACAGGAAGACAATAGCAAGGGGAAAAAAACCTAGAACTAGGGAAAGGATTTTTTTCCCCCCAGAGGAGACTTGAGCACACGTGTAGACCCACGAGAAGGAGCTCTGAAAGAAAATGGGGTTAAGATGCTGATAGTTGTGTAAGCAAAAACTACAGAGGAGTGAGCTTGGAACAGAAGGCTACCCACTCTTTCTCTAAGATGGGAGCGATGTAAAAATACCCCCTACCATGGCTCTCTAGCAGATGTCTTAGGTCTGGAAGGTCTTAGGAAATAAGGTAGGGTAAGGAAGGAGCAAGGGCACAGGGTGGGGGTGGAAGCACTGTGAACTTAAAAGTGCCCTTCCTGTTCCCAACAGCTCCTTCCTCCTCCCTGAGTAGCCAGGGCAGAGCCAAGGCAGGGAGAGCAGGTGTGCGTGCGGGCCTACCCCTGACCCACCCCGCCACCCCCAGTGCCTCTGGGCCATGCAGGTCTGCCAAGTGGGAGATGTGAAGGAGGTTCTCTTTCCTTCGCAGAGAAGCTCACAGCCAAACCGAAAAGCGGAGGAGAGACAGGATGAATAACCTGATTGAAGAGCTGTCTGCAATGGTCCCTCAGTGCAAGCCCATGGCACGGAAACTGGACAAACTCACAGTTTTAAGGATGGCCGTTCAACACTTGAAGGCTTTAAAAGGTGAGTGTAACTAAATGGTAATTGGCAAAAAATACAATAAAAAAATTATCACCTCTTAAAAAATATGAGTTTGAAAATGGCCTCCACACGTGGCTTTGGGAGGTCTTCCCTGTAGTTGAGGTTGGCTTATTGTTATTGGCTGTTGAAACACTATACAGAGTTGCCTTTCAGCTGTAGAGGCATTTACTTGATGCTTGTCCGTATTCTGTATGTGGAGAGAATACTAATGTGGCTGTCGGAAAACTTGGTTCTGCCAGAAGGTGTATCTTAACCTTACTCTTAAGAATATGGAAAGTGTTCACATTTCTTCTTGTTTTCCCATATTCTTATGTGTAATATGAGGATAATGTTTCCTGCCATATATACCTCTCAGTGTTTTAGGAGTTCTGACATGTAATATTAATTATTATGGTTTTAAGTCATGGGCAGGTTTCCATTCGTAGGGAAGGACATCTCCTTAAATTCAGCCAATTTCTCTTAAAGCTTCATTCAGACTTATAAGTAGTAGTACCTTCCAATGCAGCCTGCCTTACTATATTCTAAGGGATTCTCACATGTTAGACGTTGGATGAAGGAGGTCCCTAGCTATTGCTTCTTGGGTATGCATGGTCATTTCTGACCTGAACAGTTCCCCAACTTGAGCTTGAATTTTAAATTGAAGTAAGTGTGTGTGTGTGTGTGTGTGTGTGTGTGTGTGTGTGTGTGGAGTCAAAATCATATCTGGTTTGGGAGTAACCCCAGTCCAATTTGGGCAGTATGATGGAGACCGAATTGCGTTTCCGACATGGGAATGTTAACATCAACTGATATTGAGAAGAACTGGCAGAGGAGTCAGCTGCAGGCCACAGAGGAGATTGATGATTCAGATTCATAAAGATCTAAAAGATTATAGTGAAATTTGCCCTTTAAAAAAATGAAAAAGGAACAAGCAAGGAATGACCAAGGGTCTTATTTAGACCTCTGTCCTCCACTGCATGCCAGGAAAAGGAAAATCTATTTCAGGGAAAAGGAAGCTATTCGGTCAGAATACAGGGACTTGGCCAAGCTGAGTGACAGTGGGTTGGAGGAGGAGGGTAAACCGGGATTTCCCGTGCAGATTCGAGCCCAGACACAGAAGATCTTACTTCATAATGAACAAAAAAATCCTGGCAAATCTGTTCGGTTTGAAAGAAGTAGGGGCTGGGGGAAGCATATACAAATTAGGAAGTAAAACTACAGACAGCTATTAAAGGCCTGTTTAATAGCAACTTGTACAAGTTGTAAAAATAGATACTTGAAATCATCTTCCTTAGATCGCCACATATGGTAGAAAAATGGCGTGTGCACTCCAATCCGCTGACTCCGTGCAGATGCAGAGAGGAGGCAGCAGCGGAGGAAAGGGCAGCCCTTGATCCCTTCAGTGCCACGGGGGATACTGCCTGGCAGGCTTCCTATTGGGAGCATGATGACAGTCTTATTTTCATATGCCTATTGTTGAAAAAGATAAAACAAAAATAAGATTCTCTTTTACCTACTGCTAGGTCTTGCATAAGTTGCATGCAATATTTCCCTTAAATCTTTTCAGCAACAAACGTTTGCAGGCTCAACTGAGGCCACTTGATTGCAAACCTAAAATTACCCAATACTTTTCACATTTGTAATGTCCTGAGGGAGGATGACCTAAGGAAGAAGCCATGAATCAATCAACTAATGCAACAAGCATGCGCGAGCCTCCTGTTCTGTGCTGGGCATATAGAATTGAATGGGGCAAGATCTTTGGGTTCTAGGGGTTCACAGCCGCTAGACGGAGGTGGACCCATGGAGAGATCAGCAAAACCTAGTGGGATAAATGTTATAGCAGAGGTATGAGTCTACATCCTGTTTACGTCCTGAGAGGATTTCTTGGAACAGAGCATAGATTTCACCACTGGCCCTCCTGAGCCACAGCCAGGCCGTCAGTTACTCATCAACGGCCCTGACCAGACGCTGTGGTGAGTGCTACCACAGTGAGATGACCTAGAGCAGAGTCTGCATTCCAGTGCACGTATCAGAGTGTGCCCCCAGCTCGCTCCCCATCAGAGGCCCTGGATCATCGGAGGGCTGCAGGCGGGCCATGTTATTTCGGGATATACAAAACTACTTTAAAGATAGAAGGATGGTGAAATGGGTTTTTTTTCCTACTACATTTTACAGCAGTGCTTCTCAAACTAGCTGGGTGAAGGGCAAGTGCTCCCCACCCCCATCCCTTGTGAAATATAATACAGCTGGTTACTGGAAAAATTCACGGCTGCGATGCCTCAGCATTATATTTCTGTAAAAGTGTCTAAATGCTTGTTCTTAATTTCTGTACTTGTGCCAGCACGGTTGCCTGATGACAGTGGTCTGCAGACCACCTGTGGATGAGCCTGGCTGTGCAGCGTGTGCTTTTGGAGAACCTGTGGGCGTTCTGTGTGTGGTCTCAGTACTGAGGACAGGAGTGCAAACCCATGGGTCCTGGAGGCAGGCCTCCTGGGTTCAAACCCTGGCTCCCTGACTTAAAAGCTATGTGACTTAGGTTATCAGTATTTAACATTCTAATCCGCAACTTCCATATCTGTAAAATAGGGATAATGCATCTGCCTTATAGGGTTGTTGTTAAGAGTAAAGAATAATGCACATAAAATGCGAGTCCAGTGTTTACTAATGATGGAGGAAGAGGAAGAATAGATGTTGTTTTGATCATTATTGTCATTATAGTGATTATTATCATACTGACTTTTTTTAACCTGATGAACATTGAAACGAAAGTGATTGTTTCCTTGTTTTATGGTTTCTGCTTTTTGGGGTTTTTTTTTTTTTTTTTTGCCATCAGAAATCTGAGAGTCAAATCTGGTCGCTGCTCCTCTTTGGCAGGGGTACAGTGTATCGCAGCACGCATGGCCCCGGCTCCGCTCTTGCTGCCCTCTTTTCCTCCTCCACACATCCTTACTCTCTCACCTAGTCGAGGCTCGCCCGTTCTGACAGGTTTGCCCTACCTGGGTTTTCTTGGTGTACTTCTGCCAACCTTGCTTCGGGCCAGGCCTGGGAATGTCACTGCCTCCCTCAGGCTGAGTCCTTGCTGTTCCCTGGCTCACCACTCAGAGGCTGAATCTTTTAGCCTGTTCTCAACTCTCTGCTACCAGGCTGCTGTGTAGTAGTAACTAGAAGAAGAAATCACTTAGGGAATTCTTTGAGGCCTACCTAGAAAATAGATTCCAAAAGGGAAGATTTTTCTTTTGCTTATGCCAGACTCTTAGGAGTGCTACCCGTCTGAGAAAACTTGACCAAATCATACCATGAGGTGTTTTTGATTTTCTGGTTTTGTGTTTTCTGCCACTACTTAGGTAATTGGTGAGTTTGGGCTGTAAATCCATCCAAGAGTCAGTCTGTGGTTAAAATTTCTCTTGCAAAAGCAACTTTCCTTGCAGTGTTCAGGAGGAGGGAATTGGAGTTAGGGAGGGTGGGAAGCATAAATGAGGGGGAAATTGATTGACCTCTGAGTCACCCTTGCCCAGAGGTATCCGGGGACAGTGCACCTAGGCCGGGTCGACTGTCTCCTGCGCCCCCTTGTGGCCAGGACGGGCTTTCCTGTGTCAAGTTGGTAGATAGCCTCAAGGCATCCTTGTTTTGACCTAGTATTTCCTTATCAGCTCTTCAGTTGCTTTAGAGACTTTTTTTTTAATACAGTAAGCTTTTGCTAAGGATGTAAAATGAATTATTTTATGTTCTATATCTTTCTGTATATTATCAGAAGTGTTCATGTGGTCTTTAGAGCATCATATGCAAAATTCATTTAGGATAATTCATATGATCAGTTTTAAGAAGCTAAGATATAAAAGTAGATTTTTGAATATTATATATTATTATACTGTTATAGATATATTAGTTCATTTTTAAATCAACATATACAACTCTTACTATCTGCACACGAGTATATAAAGGAATAGACAGTTCCAAGAATGTACAGTCTAAGACAGTTCCAAGAATGTACAGTCTAAAAGCAGGAATTTTTAATCTAATGAAGAAAGAGAACATTTACAGAAGAGGTCTTAGAATGTGCTAAAAGAGAAAATACCATCACCATCCTCACCAGCAGCATTGCTAGTGTTCATTGAGCACTTATTACATTTCCGACCCCGCTATATTTTCAGTAACTTTTGACTTGTTTATTTCTAGGTATTACAAATTCTTATACAGGAGATATTTATCGACCTTCATTTATTCAGGATAATGAGCTCAGACACTTAATCCTTAAGGTAAGTAAATAAATATATTTGTCTGAATTGTCTTTGCCCTTTCATTTTTATTTGAACGGGAGGCAAATTTTCTGTACTTTGCTTTCTGTTATAATCATACAGGACTCTACATTACACCAAATTGCCTTTAATATAAAATTTAATTTATACAAGTAACCATGTCTTACGAGTTTGGGCTAAAATAGTAGAGGCATATTCTAAAATGCGGAGCGAGGCTTATCTTAAACTCTTAGCTCCTTACACTGCTTGGTGCACTTGTCCCCCATATGACAGAATCTAGTCTTCATCATTACCTCCTTCAAAGCCGTCCGTCTTGTATGCCGTTCCTTCGGGATCCTGTTCTCTGCCCTTTAGCCAGCATTGCTTATGTAATGAGTTGTTACCAAATGTAAACCATGTGCACGGGTGTTCTGACTCACCGGTGTGGACGTTCATTTGACATGGGAAATAGGACCATGTCGTTGGCTCATCCTGCCCGCAGGAGGCAGGAAGTGTCTTGATCTTGTGCTGTGACTACTGGGACTACATCCTACTCGTCATAGTATGATTAAGCCAAAGGATTCTTGTATTTCTGTCCATTTTTTTTTACCTCTTAAAAAAAGTTCCTCTTTTATTTGAACAATTGAATTTAAATATAATATTCCTGATGGGAATATAAGGGATTTTTTGCAGGCAACAAAAATAATTTCAAAGACAGTGAAATATATAGTATACTTAGAAGCTTTCTCGCCAATTTTCGTTTGGTTTGTTTTGAGCCACAACTTAATACAACCCCAGTTCTGCACCTGTAGAACATCTGCCGATCCATTTCATGTTTGTGTACAATTGGTAAAGTTTAGTCTAAGAAACGTCACATGGGGGTACCAGGCTCGTCCCCTGTGTCCACATGTCCATTTCCATATAGGTTGCTCCATAGGGGATTTACTGGGCATATCTCATGGGAGTTGCTGATATATAATATTAGAATTCTTAAAAGTTAGTTTTGATTGGTAGCTTATCATTATTTAAAAAGTATAAAAAGCTGTACAGTAACATTTTCATTCCTTCCTCCTCCCAGCCTGCACATCCTTCCATCTCTACACACACGCAGGCAGGCCTCGTCATTGACGTGTTTTAGTGTCTTTGCAGAGTTTCTGTATGCGGCGGTGTAGGCTTTTTATATTGTGAAATATTTCAACTCAGTGTTCGCTGGCTGAACTACCCATGTGAAGAAACAGTAATTTAGACATGGGTCCAATTTGATGTCCTTTATAAATCTACTTATGTACCTCTTAAGAAAATATCTTATAATTAATTTTACTAGATATGTGACCACTTTGTTAGATTTATTGCTACAGCAACTTCCTCCAAAATTGCATGTTGTGTGTGAGAAAAGCAGATGATATTTTTAAAATTTACTTTTACATTTTTATATCCTAGGCTGCAGAAGGCTTCCTGTTTGTGGTTGGATGTGAAAGAGGAAAAATTTTCTTCGTTTCTAAGTCAGTCTCCAAAATACTTAATTATGATCAGGTATCCAAAATAGGATATTTTCCACATTATGTTTAGTTTTTTGAACAGATTTCAAAGCTCCCTTTCTGAACCTTTTCTTCCATTGGTCTGTGGGATTAGCTAAGTTAGAACTCCAGGAGAGATGGAAAGATAGGTCAGCGAGGACGCGTTGTCATTACTGACAAGAATGTTAACTTCCTGACCTTCAGTAACTTATTTCATTTTCCTGAACCTCAGCTTCCACGTATGTAAAACGTGACAATGATGATTATACTTGTCTCTCAGGATATAAAAACTAAATAAACTATCCTATTTGAGAGTGTCTGAAAATTATTAGTCTCCCTTCTGTTTTCTTCAAGAGAGCATTATTATTTCTTACTAAGTTATACTTATAGCATAACAGCTTTTGATCTAAGCTCTAGCAACAAACTCTGATATGCATATGTTATTTCACTAGCTATGTAATTGCTTTATGTCCTCATCCTGAAAACCATTTAATTTAAACCAGTTATCCAAAACTTATAGCACTGAAAATAACCCAACAGAGTGAGTAAACTAGTACCTATGGTCTCCTTTAGCAATCACATAGCTGAAAAGATTTCATCTTAAATAACTCCCATTAATTTCAACCAACCTTCCCCCCAAATTTGGAAATTTGGAGAGATAAGGCATGCATAGGTAATGAGCTAAATAACAAAGATACGATGCTGCATTCAGGAGGAAGGAGAACCAAGTAAATCATGCAGCTGGTTATAGCTGGGGACACAAAAGCAGGAGCACCTGATTCTTTTGTCTTCTCGTTGGAAATAGAGAACATCACACACATTAAGATGATCGACATTTCAAGGTTGCACTGAAGTTCCAAATAGGGACATGGAGTCCAGTCCCCCTGGGCACTGGCTTTGCATTTCAGAGACCAATCAAGAGACTCCCTGACTGCTCAGGAGGACTTTGGGTTCCCTGAAGCGCAGGGTCTGGTCCCAGCTTCTCAGATTCAGAAACCTGATTTGCTATAAAGCAGAGTTCTGGGTGTACACACGATAGATTGACGTACAGATCAGATTGCTCACTTTTTAAAATGAGGTATCTAACTGCCTAACAATCCAGGCCACTTTTACCGTGTGGTCCATTTGTTCTGTCTCCTGTAGGAATGTCTCCCTGGGTAATGAAGGAGGTCAGGAGGAGAGTGGTCACTGTGGGTCAGGAAGGACCTCGCATGCAAAGTAGAGTGTCTGCTATGCGTTAAGATGTGCAGAGGAGGTGAGGAAGAGATTTTAGGTCGAGAGAGGGAATCAGCAGCAATTGGGTGGACTGGCCAGGGAACTGAGGTTGTAGAAAAGGAGTAATGAGTTCTGGGTGATGAAACCGCAGAGCAAAGGCGCAGACCCAGGAATGCTCTGCATGTTGGGAGAAGTGGAATGGGAAGTGGGAGGTATCCCAGGTTGGACTTTGTTCTTCAGTAGTATGGTAATTTTTTAGAACAGTACGATAAATCCCTGTTATACCATAAAACCACAGCTATTCTGTGACTTCCATATGATACTATAATTGCTTTACTTTTAACAAAGATAAAGTTTAAAGTAAATCATAATATGATTTATAAGTAACATGAATGGGGGGGTGTTCACAAGAGTAATTAAGAGTAAATAGAATATCAGTGGTTTGGTGTTTGCATATGGTCTGCATGCATCCAGTTGTGGTTCCATGTGTATATATGATTTTTCTGTCTACAAGTATGACCCTGCTTTTATCACTAAGTTAATGTCACAGTGTAGTCGATGTATCTCTGAGATTCACTAAAAACAACTTAACAAAATAAAGTAGAATGAGGAAATGTAGAAAAACTACAGTACTGATTACAAATGAACATCTACTTTATAAATAGGCTAGTTTGACTGGACAAAGCTTTTTTGACTTCCTACATCCAAAAGATGTTGCCAAAGTAAAGGAACAGCTGTCTTCCTCTGATATTTCACCGAGAGAGAAGCTAATAGATGCCAAAAGTAAGTGCTCATTCGAGCGTGCTTACCATTTTTAATGTAAATATAATTATTACACAAAAGTACAGCTATACAGTGTTTTTGAAAAGTTAGCTAATTATGCTTTTATCAAAGGGAGAATTATGTAGTAAACTTTACAATCGTCGACCTCAGAGTTTAGAAAATATAACTATGTAGAGAATTCCTATATTCATATATACATAAAAATATATTTATATGAAAATGCTTTGAGGAAAACGTGATTGCTCCATAGTTGCTATTTTTCATATGCTAATAAAATCTTTACAAGAAAATACCTTTTGGGATAAAAAAATTGGTGAAATTTTAATTATTCAGCTATATGCTCAGAGATAATTCTTCTCTTATATGGGTTGTTAGGTCTATTCACTGTGAAACACCTTGTATAATTTTGCTTGAGAGTTGTAAGTATTCTTTATTTTCTCCAAAAATACTTATCTTTTCTGAGACTGGTTAGTGCTGAGTGACCATTTATAATATAAAAATGATGCTTTATGCAATTGATTACAATTACATTAGAGGGTTTTTAAAAATTTTTTATTTCATTTCATTTAAATTACCTTTATGCTCCACCCCTTTGGGGAAAAAATAGAGGTAAGTTGCACGTTTATACGTTATCAAAAATAATAATTGCTTGACAAATACATTTTTTGGTACGTTTCACTTTCTGGCTTACTGTACAATGGTGTTGTTTTAAATAACCATTTCTCTTTTTTAACTTACAAAAAATGTAATAGATGATCAGAAAAATGTTAGATACATTTCAAAATTATTTGAAAATATTCTTTTCTACCTATTCTCTTGCTGCCTCCTCTTATGAAAGCTGGTTTGCAAGTCCACAGTAATTTCCATGTGGGAAGGACGCATGTGTGCGCCGGCTCGAGGCGATCCTTCTTCTGTCGGATAAGGAGTTGTAAAGTCTCGGTCAAGGGAGAGTGTGAGTGCTTACCCGACGCAAGGAAGAAAGGTATCATCATTGTGAAGGCATGGAAATAAAATTAATGTCCTACGTACTTAGTGGACAGAAAAAAGTAAGGTATATGGTTAAGGCAAATAATTGAGACCAAAAGCACCTAAGGAGATATCTTTCAAGTTTATCAGGTAATTGCATATCTTCTTTATTGCTCAAGATTTTAATGGTGCTGTTGAAATTACAGTTTGGGGGCTCTCAAAAGGGAAGACGTGGAAATAAAACTTTAGTTATGAAATGCCATTATTTCTTTTAAAATATAAAAGGTCTTTAAAAAAAACCTGCAATACTACAAGAGCTTGATTTGATTAATCTTGGTGACTGTTTAAGATATTACAGGTGTGGTTTTTAAGATATTACAGGTGTAGTTTTAATTTTTATGACATGTGGTTCTTTGGTAAATATGTCTGGTTCTGCGTTCTTGTATTTTTTTTTAATAGACTTGCCTTGCAGATACTTACATTTTGAATGGACTGCCAAATGCCTCATGATTTTTATTTTTATTTTTTTAGAGAGAGGGAGAGACATCAATTGGTTGTCTCCCATATGCACCCTGACTGGGGATGAAACCCACAACGTTTTGGTGTACGGGATAATGCTCCAACCAGCTGAGCCACCTGACCAGGGCTCATGTTGTTTTTGCCTAAGAAGATATTAACCTATGAGATATAGAATTCCCTTTGCAAATTTTAACTTGAGATTTGCTTTGACATCTTGTGAAAGGACGTTTATATAGAACTTCAAGATTCAGTTTATTTGCAAAGGGAATTTACAAAAAAGGCCAGAGTCTTTTTTGGCAACCACCTAAGATGATAATCACTAATACTCATTTATTAAGCCCTTACTTTGTGCCAGCCACTGTACTAAGTGGTTTAATTCACATGAAAACACTGTTCTTACTTCTGTTTTAGAATCAAGGAGGAGAGACTGAATAGGTTCAGTAATTTACAGAAAGCAAAATTGGCAAATTCACACTCAAACAGAAAGCCCTTACTCCTATGTTATATCATAAAGAAAGAAAGGCAGAATGAATCAGCAGTCCTGAGGGTGGGTCTGTTTGTAAACCACTGTTTGCGTCCCCCTTGCCCTGGGCTCCGAGCCAGCTGTCTATAGTCTCCTGTGTGGTAGAACTAGCAGCTGACTGGTGGTGAAGAGGTTGTGAAATCAAGCTGATTGGGATCCACTTTGGCTCTGCCACTTGCTAGTCTGTGATTGGGAACCAGTTTCTTAACCCATCTGGCCCTCAGTTTCCTTATCTGTAAAACAAAAACATTCACAGGGTTGAATGGTTTTGTGGAGTGGCTAACTACTTAGATATTCTGGAGCCAAACTTTTAAGATTTGAATTCTGACTTGTGATTAACTATGTAACTTAAGATAAATGACTAAATCCTTCTGGGACTCTCCTCAACTGTAAAGTGAAAATAATGATAGAACCTCCCTCACAGGGCTATTGTAAGGAGTAAATGAGTTAATACGTGTTAGGTGCTTAGGGTCATTCCTAGCATGGTGACACTTGATAAATGCTGAAAGCCATTATGAATACTATTAGTAATAGCCCTGGCTGGTGTGGCTCAATGGATTGAGGGCTGGCCTGCAAACCAAAAGGTTGCTGGTTTGATTTCCAGTCGGGGCACATGCCTAGGTTGCCGGCCAGATCCCTAGTTGGGGGCGTTCGAGAGGCAACCGATCGATGTCTCTCACAAACCGATGTTTCTCTCCCTCCCTTCCTCCCTCCTTTCCCCCTCTCTAAAAATAGGTAAAGATAAAATCTTTAAAAAACCCAGATTAAAAAAATTATTACAAATAAAGTACAATGCAGAGTAAATGGTAAGTACCATTATTGTCACTACTTTAGGGTTCCTGCTCTGCCTGCCTCAGATCAATCGATATTGGGACATGGCCATATAATATGGAAATACTCTCCAAGGGCAGGAATATTCCTTCTGTGTGGATGGTCCAAAGAGTCATACTACATGTAGACCTTGGATTGTAGTACATTTTATCCTTAGGATTTAGCTAGAGATGAACTAATACCATGTTGAGTAGACACACCACAATAGAGTCACCTCATCTACGCAGCGATCCATATGCAAGATCCGTAATGTGGCTAAAATCTCTGTGGTGTTTGATGCCAGGTATAAATTGAGTAGAAGCTAAAGTAATCAAGTTCTGTGTGTGTTTTAAAGATTGCCAGATTAATTTATCTTTCTTTTGGAAGAGAAGCATTTCCACGTGGACTTACTTAGTACTAGTGCATATGTTAGTCCTAGTATTTTAGTCATCTGTGTCTTGGTGTGTGGCTAATGCCCAGTGTAACCATTTTACTTTGTAAAACCTGATTTCACCCTCCACCTCTTGCCCTACCGTCTTACTCTCTGCTTCCTAAACCTCTCATCCTCACAGGTTTGATCTCAACCTCTCAATTCTTTTTGAAAACTATTGCTTTTGACTCTTAAGCATGGAAGTCTCTGGGAACACAAGGGAAGGGAAGAGCAAGAAAGAGAGAGGCATGCCCTCTCTTCTAGGAGCAGGCATGCCCTGGGCAGCAGTGCCCGAGACTGTGGCCGAAGTTCTGTTGGTGGAGGTTTCGTCCCCACTTGCATTTTCTCACAGCTTCTACTGCAGTCTTTCTTCAAAAAAGATCCCTACACGTAGGCTATACCTAAGGAAAAGTGGTCGCAATCCGCCTGAGATCATTACCTGGGATCTAATTACCTAGAATCTAATTAAATAGATTTTGGTCAGCCAGCAGTTATTTAGTCCCTGCTATGTGCCAGGCACCATACTGAGTGCAATGGATACACTGGAAACAGGCAGACAAGTCATTGCTCTAGTGAACCTCATGATAGGGACAGGATGCAGCCATTCAACAAGTAAATTAATAAATATTTTAGGTAGTAGAAAGTAGAGGGAAGTCAGTAAAATGGGATGATGAGAACAGGCACTAGGAAGAAGTAGTTGCTTTAGAATACTCAGAGGACGTTCTTTCACGTGACAGGAAGACCAATGCTAAGACCTCGAGTATTTTGAGGGACTCAACAAAGGTCAGTGTGACTAGATCCTAGATGCTGCAGACAGTGTTAGGGAGGGGGCCAGCTGGGACTAGGTTTGTAGGCGCACGTGGGCTGGGGCAGTGGTGGTTACTGTTTACCCAGCAGCTTTCTGCGTGTAGTCCTGATAAGAATGTTGGTTGAGATTTTCCTTTACAGTAATAAGTAAGATGAAAGTGAAATCATGATGACATGTCGTTGGAACTTCACTCACTTTTCAATGATATGAGTGACTTTGCTGAAAATGGCAGTAGTTTTTTTTAATAGTGGAAGATTATTTTTTTTTTTGGTGCCATTCATTATGTAACGACAGACACAACATACTTTTAAGTTTAATCCAATATTAACATTTTGTCTGTCACTTGCATAGTTCTAGAGAATTAGGAAAAAACCAAATAACAAATCAAGCCCTGATTTATAGTTTTGCCAATTTCTGAAGTGTGAATAGTCACATGTTGGCTAATTTCAAGCTACCTATATGAAGCCATTGAACTTGGAGTAGGGAAGGGATATGGAAGAACAACACATCCTTATATATATTATATGTACATTATATGTATTCAAAAAGAAATAATTTTTAAAAATAAGTATTTATTAAGTACACACTATGGGCCAAACACTAGTCTATATACTGGGGAAACAGCGAACAAAACGAAATCCTTGCTGATAATAATAAGTGCTATGAAGAAAAAGAAAGTAGAATAAGAAGGTTAGGACCAGACCTTCAAATCACTATTTCACAATATGTTAAACTTGGTTTTAAAAATAATAAAGCATGCCATCAACAAAATGAAGACAACCTAAATGGGAGACAATGGATAGGAGATATTTGCGAATGATATATTTTTGATAAGGAGTTGATATATATATCAACTTATATAAAATATATAAGGAACTCTTACAATAGCCAAAAAAAAAAAAAAAAAACAACCAAAGAATCAATTAAAAAATGGGTAGAGTGCC